TTATTTTGTTGTAGACGAGAAATAGGAGTTGCAATCAGGGAATGCAAATGATTTAGGAAGTGGGCAATTAAGCAGTAAACGATTTTGCTTTTTTTTTTTCATTAAACTGGCTGTTAAAGACAGATAGATTAGACTGAATATTACAGTATGTGAGAGAAATTGCAATTGCACATGCATTATTATACAGCACAAAGCAAACCACTATAATACATTACGTGATATATGCATTTAGAATACTATATGAGATTTATAAAAATCGATTGCATATGCGTTTAAAGGATGTATGCAATAATGATTAAGTCCGAACTCGGGACCAGGCAAATTTATGTATTTAGAGGAGTTATGCATTTAGAGGATTATGCATTTAGAGGAGTCTGACTGTATTACAATTTTCTTATTATTATGCCAAGTTTTCAAATAATAAATTGTGTTACCATCAAGTACATATGATTGGATATTCGTTAATTCGACTTTTACGTTAATTCGACTGATGACCGCCGACCGCAAGTGGTCGAATTATCGGCAATCGACTGTACCTCTTTTTGTGCGACCCTAAATCGTCGAATTAACGGAAGTTGACTGTACACAGTAATTATTAAGAGATAGAAATGCCGAATAAGGATAATTTTCTATACACAGATTACATGTGTGGACTCTGATGTGCGTTATTGTAAAGTCTGTTCTATATAGGCCCAAAGCTGTGTCTGTGCGAATAATGGAATCAGAATACAATGTGGTGAAATTAACTTGGTCACGTAAATTGCTCGCAGACTACAAACTCACTCACATTTTCACTCACTCCAGACTTTTTTTGTACAATTACCATCATACAGACATTCGTTGTTCGTCCACACTCCCAATTGCTTGTCCTCAAGTTTGCTTGCCAAATTCCCACTGCAGTCGTCGACTGTATTTGAATCTACTGTAACTCTGGAGAGTAGATTGCCGTAAAGTGTTGACGGCCGATGGACTGTGTATTATCATCAGCTGTTCGTGATTCTTCTCTGGTATAAGTAATTTTGTCGTACTATATATAGTGCTGTTTCCAAGTCTGTAATTGTAGTGTTGCTGCTGTTATTACCGCCGGTATTACTACAATTTTTTGGTTGTTCCTTCGCGTGGTGGGAGAAGCTATAAGCCTAACTGGGCACGCTGGCGATTTATATTCCTCACGGAAAGAAGCATTTTTTCAAGTAATTACTCTCATGACGTTTTTTTTTTTTTGAAAGAATCGTAGATTTAGAAGGTCAGCGAGTGAAGAAAAAACTGTATGTATGATAAACCGAGAAGATGAGAGTAGAAAAGGCTCGGCAAAAGGAAAGGTAAATCTGTTGTATCGATCGCTACTTAGGCTGTTGGGTTGAGTATTCTTCACCTATTATTATGTCTATCGTCGATTATCAGGGACGTTATGCAAAGTTTATTTGTGAGTAAAAACGCGTTGGATAATTAAATTTTTATCAGAGAACAAAAGTTAGAAATCACATTTGAGTCTGAGCAGTTAATCCTGACAATACGGTACGGCTCTGAAAGAAGAGAATACTGCTCTGAGAGAAGACATTCTATTGAGCTTAAAACGAGGGCCTGACAGGACGCGTGCTAACTCCAGCAACTCGGTTGGGTGACCATAATGTACCATACCTAATAATACTCCAAGTCGAGCCTTTACAGGCATTTTTGCAATCCCTTCCCTGATTATCTACTTGACTATATTGACCATGACTCTACATATTAATACGAATGCGATCTAGAAATTTATATTTGGGGGAGGAATCGCGCCCTCTTACCTAAGCAATAAAGATTGTGGTATACTATATTGTATATGTACGTAAACATTTCACCGATCGGTGGTTTGTTTCTAGATACATATAGTGACCTTTGACGTAATGACCCTGTAATTGTTGAAGATATCAAATATATTAAAATGTACATCTAGTAATACCATACACGTGAAAATATATGTAAATCCGGGATTTACTATAGTACAGCTGGGACTGGAAATATTCTGCTTTATTTTCGTATAATATATAGAAAACACCAATAAATAACAATGTAGGTAAACCAAAATACTGGTTTAGATAGCTGCCTTCATAAGCACGAGATCATCAATAACTTGGTCCAACCCATGCAGCTCCACCTTCTCCAAGAATTGTGTTGGGAAAATAACCAAGTGACCCTTAATCTTGTTGAGAATGGCTTCAACTTCTTCGACTGATCGGCTAGGATCATGAACATGACCAGCCTTAACCTTTTTACCGGGGATAAACGCCTCGAATTCCTTCCAGCTCTTGACTGTAAGAAGTGTTCAAGATGTCATGAATTCTGTAAATGGTTCAGTAGAAAATACCGTAATAACAAATTGTATACGTACCAGTATTGTCAGGATAGCAATGAAAAACATCGCGGAATGCCTCAGTATTTGTCCTAGCCGTCTCCAACCAGATAGCTTTGTAGAATTCATCGCTCACAGGATCTTTCAGTCGTTCATCGACTTCAAAAGATTTGGGATCCAGAGGCAATGGTGGTGGGTGGCAATTGCCGGAAGTAGATTCGTGATGAATTTGGTCACCAAGCAGGCCAAGGTGTTCTTTGAAAAGGAAATTACGAAGCGAATACGCAAATTTTCTTGCTTCCCACTACATATCATTGGAAACCCCGAATTAGCATTAAGGATTCTGACTATTCAAAATTAGTTATAAAAACGTACGTCTTGCCCGGCCATACGCGTTTTTACAATGGCGGTATCTTCAATGAGAGCAGCAATCTCGGAATCGTGATCACCAAGTTGTGATCTGTCGTTGAAGTTGGCTATTAAATAGCAAGTAAGTCTGTATTACTTTATCAAATAAATTATCCAACAGTATCATACCTGATCCGCATATGACATAACGATCGTCTACAATCATGACTTTTGTGTGTATGTAGAGCTCCTCGGTTACATAAACATGTGTAGCATCATGATCAACAATGCCATGTGGGAAAGCCTGTTCGGTAGCAGTAGTCAAACCGCTAGCACCCTCCCCGTTCATGATGGTGTGGATGGCTTTCTCTACAGCTTGTCCAGTGAACTTATCGTACGAACGAAGAGCAAAGAATTGAATGTAATCCTCGGGATTGATGCCAACCTTCTTAAGTTCATCAAAAATAGATTCGCCACCTCGGCTGATTGATAAATACTGAGCTTGGCAAACAAGTCGAAGAGAGATAGCCTTGATATTGTTAATCTCATCCGGAAAACTTGGCAATAACGGCATATTGACGATTACTCTAAATTTTTCCTTTTTCTGATGAGCAATTTTAATACGCTCAACAAGTTCCTGTGATAACGAGGGAGGCATAAGTAAATATCGTGCGTTTCTTACACGTGAATGAAATGCAATCGTACCTTGCCAAGAAGATTTTTCACAAAATGACGGCTTTTAGGCTTCGTCGCAGTGCAGAAAAATTGATTTTCGATATAAATAAAATGTTTCGCTTCTCTGATCAATTGAATATAAGCATTCATAATCGAGTGCTGAAAGAAACGCGCATGTGAATATGTGCAATAACTCGAGCCGATGCGATGGTCAACATATCTCGTCCTGTTACCTCAGTTTCAATACCGTGACTCCATTTACTGCTGCTTCTAAGAATTTGAACTTTTGCTGTTCCTTGTTCTGGATGCAGGCTGTGTGTTTTACCAAAGTATTCGTAATTTTCAAAACCCGTTGGGTACTCTATTTGGTGCTCACGCGCATATTGAGCATCAGACTTGGCAATAAGTACAGGATATTCTGGCTTGTTCTCGGCCTTTTCCTTTTTGACAAAGTTCCAACGCTCGATAAAATGACGCGCCACGTCAAGGGCGGGTTTACCAACCTGTAAATGCCACAAACTTAGCATATCAGCCTGTCAGTGTCGTTTATGCAACTAATCATATTTACTCACAAAGCCTATTGCCACATCGTGCCATGGCATACGGGCGACCTCTTTCCTATCAACGAGAGTTTTCATCCATTGGTCGACTGAAAAGCAATTGCAATTGGTAAGTAACGAAATAACCATGAACTTATGTTTCCCGACTATAACCATACCGTGGGCAAAATCACAAATTCTGGGATTGGAATAATCCTGTCCAGGCCAGATTTCCACGTTATCTGAAATTGCCGCGTAATCTGCGAGTTGATGACTGTGAGTATCGTAACGCCCGAAACAGAGATCCAAGCCACCTATGAAAGCTATGCGTCTGTCGATGGCAACCATTTTCTTGTAGAAATGGTTGTTTCGAGTCAGTCTCTACTATGACATTTAAAATATCACATTCAATAAACAAATTATCACCTCATGATGCTACAGAAGTGGCATTAATGATTTTACAAATTAGTTAGTTACAGGAATGGACTGATGCAACATAAGAGAATCCTTTAAATTAGTTTTACCGTCCACATATAGTGTGTTTCTACTTCAGCAATAAAGTCTGGATGCCTTTGAACTATACAGTAATTGATAAATTAATTACATCATGTCATCACGGTTTCAATATTATGCCAAATAATCGTACCCAGAATGTTCGGATGTAAATTTTTCAGCACCGACTTGCTGTGTTTGGAATTCTGAGTGCCAGTGGCAGGATATATTTCTTTGAAAATGACAACATAAATTTTCACGCCCTCTTCCGCCTTCATCTTCAAAAGATTATCGAGACGAAACTTTTCATTTTTGGAAGGTGGTCTTCGAAGGTACTATAAAACATACATAAAGTAAGAATTCGTACAAGTTACAGTAACGATGTGTGTATACTCACCAATTCAGGGGAAAGCCACCAGTCTCCAATGAAGATTTCTTTTTTAGCCGATAAGAGCGCCTCAGAAATGGCGTAGAAATAATCTTTGCCATCAACATACCATTTAACGTGGACATTTTCTCTCGTTGGAGCAAACGAGCCATATGGATTGTTTTTTCCAAACTTATCGCTGTAGGTCTCCTTGCCATTGATCAAATTGGAGACGGTATTAATTGCAAGTCCAGTAGTATTACCCACAGCGTCAATTATATTCATTTTGTTAAAGTTGATAGAGAGAATTCGTTAAAAAAAGAGCTGGCTCGATGAAGGAGAATTGTAAAAACCGCTGCCTTTTGTATTCTGGGCAGAAGTCATAGTGGTTGTTACGCATGGCTAACGGATGTCTTTCCTACAGGTGGTATCATTGACTTGTAGAGTTATCTTATCCTCTGTGACCATACTGTGTTGCGAATTCTGAGAATGAAAAATTCCCAGTTTGTGAATTAGAATAAGAAAACAGATGACCACAAATTTAGGGGGTTGGACAACACAATACTGTATGTAGTACAGAACAATGCTATGTAATAACACCTTAAGAATTTTCCGAATACTTAATTGACATAACATCGTCGCCAAATGCAATACCAAGCTCACATCAAGCTCTACAGAAGTACCTTTCTAGCAAGCACATATACGGGCAAGAAGAACACATCACATTTAGATATCACATTCGGATTTTTTACGTTTAATGAAGACAGAATGATATTCATTGTCCCCGGGCAAAAATACGGGTAGCTCTATTTTGGGAGGTAAACAACGGCAACGCATTTTTATTGCAAATAGTAACACAACCACATATCATCTCAAAACCCCAAGGAAAAAACTAATACATAAGAATGATAGAACAGATGATGCAATGCAAAACAAAAGTTACGGTTTAGACTTTTTAGTCAACTAAGAAAGTTTTGAGTTTTAGGGATTTGAAAAGTAACAGCCCTCTTATGTTTTCTTAAAAAAATAGACACACCATTGCGTAACTTTCGTGTGTAACAATCCGTTATCTTTGTTTCCACCATTATGCTGGACCACCTAAAAGTTATTAGAGATGAATTTGATTTTATCAATACAGAAGCAAGCACATTGGAGATAGGGAAGATGGGACGATTAATTAAGCAAACAACTCAAACCAGAAATGTAAGTACACGGTATATAAATAAGCTATGCTGTTCAATTTGCAACATTAATATTAAAAGTCGAATTTTACTTTATTCGATCAATCTAAAACCACAAATCCTTATTGTGATTTTATTGGGTGTGTGAATGTCATGTGAATGTTAGTGATCTCCAAATCGATAGATTATTACGCATCACATGATTACTCTATTACATTTACAACCACTACTCTTATTATTATATATTATTTCGTATTCCCGACCATAAATTTCAGTATTAATGTTCATTTCAAATACACGTACTTATCACTTACAATCCACTTTCGATATTGCTACAAACCACCGCCACTTCACCTGATTATGACACGCTTAATTTGTATTGTCATTTTCCATAAAAAGTATACCAATACGTCTGGATTTAATTCAAAAACTGAACACAACCCCAATATCAATCAAGTCGATTTGTGTTCAGTTTAGATTATCACGTATCACGTAATTGTTCCATACATTTACATTGTAAACCACATTAATTATTTCCACCACAGAATTATCCTTCGCATTTCTTTGACCATAATTTTACTTCAGCGAAATGTATTATTGTTCATATGCTTTCATATTGCTACATACCATTGTATCGGTGCTTTACCTGATTATGTCATCTTAATTTGTACAGTATGATGCAAAAGTATTCCACCACATCTAATTCAGGGCAGAAACGATTAAAGTAGCATATCAAAAACTTTGATTACCCATAAATTTCAGCTCGATCAGATGTTGAAATTTTCAAATATCGAATATTTGATCACGAGATTATCATACCCATATGCGATTTCAGCCATAAAACTCTTAAATTTATACTAGTGTATAACCTGTCACTTCGTTGACAATGTGGTTATTTTATATTTTACATTTATACTTTTATTTCGCTAACGTTATCCATAATCATAATAATAAAAGTGTTAGG